GCACAGAGAGAACCAACTGTACATTCTTATCTCAAAAGACTGCTCAGTGTGAACCCATTTTCACTGCAGTATCCTCCATAAGACAAGAGATGGGAACAACCAAATGACCATCAAGGGATGAATGGCCAAACAAAATGTGGCACATATATACAGTGAAACATTACTCAGCCTTAATAAGGAAGGAAATCCCGTCATACCCAACAACATGGAAGGAACCTTGAGAACCCTATGCTAACTGAGATAAAGCAAGTCACAGATAGTTCATGAAGCACACACCTACAATCCCAGCTATTTGGAAGGGTAAGGTAAGAGAATTCTAAGTTTGGGGCCAGCCTGGGCAACTGAGATCCTGTCTCAAGACAAAAAAGCAGAGGTTGGGGGTGGAGCTCAGTGGTACAGCGGTCACCTAGCACAAGTTAGGTCCTAGGTTCAATCCCCAGTATTGTGGAAAAAAGAAAGACAGACAAACACTACACTATTCGTTTTACTCATATAGATACCCGAACGTAACTAGTCAAAGTCATGGAAACAGAAAGTGGAATTGTGGTTGGTGGTTGCCTGGGGTTGAGAGAGGAGAAAAGAAGAGTTTTCTAATGGGTATGGAGTTTCAGTTTCACAAGATGAAACAAATCTGTTGCACAACAACAATACTACTAAGATGCACACTTAGAAATAGCTGATGTAAATCTTATGTGTTGTCCTTTTTTAGTACACATGCACGTGCGTGAATCCTAAACAGCTGGGCCACTTGAATTTTGTATACTAAAGGACCTCAAGTTCAGAAATGTTGGTTTTTATGAGGGAACATTAAGAATTAAACATTACCACTATTTAAATAAAATATCAACTTCCCCCTAATTATAAAGGTAACATATGTCCAAATAAATAAAAAATGCGCACTGTACAAATGACACATCACCACTATCCTTTCAAGAAATATTCTACTCGGAGGAAAGATTAGCAAATTTGTAAGACCTTCTCAAGGGAATTATAAAAGGAGGATCTCATGCTTCAATTATAAATGGAAATGTTGCCTTTGCTTTGTTCCTTGGGATACAAGGTAATTCACATACATGAAAAACACAAATGTTCCCTTTGGTATTGATTTTACTGAGAAAAATAAATGGTGTTTCTTATAAAATCATTTCAAAGAAGAACAGAAAAAGAGTTAAACAGAATAGATTTCCCCCTAATTGTTAGCATTAACAAATTCCCCTAGGCATCAGACAATAATATTCATACAGAATACTGAGTTTATAATACAAGCGACAGAATCCTCTAGAACATTTTTTATGATTAGTTCCTTTTTACTTCTTCTATTCTAACCTCAATTTTAAAGATTATTAAACACATACATTCAATCACAAGGGTTTTCTAATAGTTCCATTTCTTCTACATGAGGGTTACTGATGTTTTTTAATATTACTCAAAGCAAAAAAGGGGGAGGGGCTGTTTTCTATTTCTTTGGAACAAGTTCCTGCCAGGTTTTGCACACTGCTGTTCTTTGGCGATGTGATGAGAACACATGCCCACCCACAGGCACTAATTTTGCTCTTCACCCTTCCCAAGCAGCCTCTATGACACATGCTGTCTGTGCTCCATATAATAGAATTCAAGAGGTCCAGTCAAACCCTGGCCCCACGCGGCTGGATCAATGACAGGAGGCAACCCAGCTCCTCTCCTGGATGGGGACGAGGAACACGTATTTAATAGCAAACCACAAAAAAACTCCAAACCCAGCTCGGACATCTCCAATCTGAAAAAATCTCTATAATCCCATGAGTTAATACTGAAAACGAAAAGTCATCTCTTGGGTTGAGATTGAGATGGAAATGATATCTTCCTGTGCTTCCTTGCATACTCAATGATCTGAAGATGACACAGCTCACCGCCCCCTGCCATGTGTAGTAGGAAGTACCTCCCTCATCCCAAGCCAAAAGCTCTTTCCAAGAGGGCTGAAGTGTCAGCCTGCTTCTGAAGCAAACATATCCCTGAAAGAAGGCACAGGGCTAACAAAAGTCCACAGCCGTTTGACAACTTGTGTCCCATTTGTTTTTAAGAGTGGGGTTATGTCCCAATAAGTCTGTGCTTTTCTGAACTAGAGAAGAAGGTTGCTATTTACAGGTAATGACACAAGACTTACCTCCAAGTGTTAGGAATCCCACCCACTCTGTAGACAGAATGCGTGTAACTACTGATGGGGGAGAATGAAGGTGGCAGTGAAGTGTAGGCAATGGGCAGGCCGAGCCCTCCCCTGGGAGCCAGTCATGGCCGCACAGCCACAAATCCTACGTCTGTAGAGGAATGCACTGCAAACTCTAGAAAAGGGTCTCTCGAAATACAAATGAGTATTTTTAAATGTTGATAGGTAATCCATAGTTAATCTTAGAGGATTCAAATGCTCTCCTGTCACCCCCCCACACACACACACACACATACAAGAAATGTCTCACAGAAGCTTTTGTCCAAAATTATGTCACTCTGCTTGGTTCAGAAAACATGGTCATCAGAACTATCAAACTGACTTTTGAGCCAGACAGTTTTTTCTTGATGTCTATCCAAGAAGAGTTACTTTCTGAAGAATCAAAAAGGGAACAGCTCAAAGTTTCTTATACATGTGGCAACTGATGGCTCTGGATCGCAGGTTCCAGTCAATTTATGAATAAAAGAAAACCCTGGGAGGAATCTATTACACATAAAGATAAATCCCAACAAGGTGGGCACTGAAGTGAAGACGGGGCTGGGTCTGGATCTCATGCACTTATTAATTTAACACTACCCAGCACCCGGCTCCCTCAGTATCTACTGATTGTTTCCGAGTTGAATGATATGAGACTTTCAATACTAACCATGCTTCTGCATCCTTTTTCCCCTCAAAAGGGAAAGAAGGATCTAAAAACCATGTGATCACTTTGGACTGATAGCTCACAGTGCTTAATAGCAAAGGGACCTCCAAAGGGCAGTAGCCACAGCCAGCAGTGGTCACCACTGCTGAGTCTCAGTGATCCAGGTGCCCCCTATGTGGAGCTGGAGACGTCTATGCTGCTTTGGGAAGAATATGAACAGGACTGTTGATGACACAAATCACAGGAAAACAAGACACTGTCACAGAAAATACCATTAAGTTAAGAGTGTTAAAAGAAGTGTTTTTATATCCCTGCCTATAACTTTCTGTAGGCCTCAATGGGGGGAAGTGGTAAAACCTAATATATCAGTGAAATCAGAGGATACAAATCAGAAGGCTCTTCTGCCTTCAAAAGAACAAAACAAAATTAATTTGCATTATTTTTCAGATAACTTTTGATGAAGTAAACTCCAAGTTTAGTGTGGCATTTGCCAAAACTGCAAGAGAACCCTGTTTACTATATAACATTGCAAAGCATGAGCTTTACTCAGTTCAAGTTAATGTTTTTTAAGTAGCTTTCCTTCCACAGCTTAAAAGAAAAAATTGTTAATGAGAAGGAATAGAAAAGGCCTCTCACTTTGAATCTGAAGTATTTTTAATATCACCAAATGCTATTATTAAATATGAACTATATATGTATGTGTATACACACGCATATAAAAATAAGCCCTACAGATGTGGGCAGGAAAATTCTTAGCAAAACCCCCACATATTTCAAATACTGTTCTTCCTCATTATTGTCCTCTACCATAATTACCATGTTACAGCATAACAGGTGGCTTTCATTTATAGAATGCAAAATTAATGAAATCTGGAGTTAGAGATGGTCTTCTCTCCAAAAACAAATTGGCCACTCTAAAAAAAAAAAAAAAAAGTGTACCACTTAATCCACAAAACAAACAGAAACACAAATTTCTGAATGCATCTGAATCAGTAAATGGGATGCATTTACCAACAGTTGAAAATTCATACACCTCAAGGAAAACAAGTCATTATTATAGGTTTTATAAGAAAGAGGAAAAGGAACAAAGACTGCCTATTTTTCTAGCTTGGAAACTCCAGATCTTCTTCACACTCTCCGATGATAACAGGATTTACCATCACAGACTGGGCTGCTCCACCAATGTGAGATCTTAGGTAAATTTGTGGGCAGTGGTGTTATAGGTCCTGACCCAGCCATGCTGGACCCACAACCCCGGAAAGCATAAATAGTACTGCTATAAACTAACTATAGCATCTGTCTCTAACAAGTAGGACTCAAAAGTACCTTTTTAAAACATTGAATAGACTGTCAACACACATAGGAATGTTTAATATACTCAAATAAGCAAAATATGTGCCTTAACTAGTCAGGCATTGTTTAAATTTAGTGAGTGAAGAAATAGAGAAGGTCAGACATGCAGACACGGCTTTCCAATTATGCAGAATGATCCTTTAGATCATGTGAAAGCTATAATTAAATGTTGATACCAAATCCCCACTACCCTTTCTCCCACCTCGGAAAAGTTAATGCATGAATTCAGTCTGAGTAAATTGCGATCTGCAAAAAATAACCATATTCAGTCATAAGGGGAATAAAGCTTTCTTGAGTTAAGCCACGCATCTTGGGGTGGAGGGGGGACAAGATACCAAAAGAAACCCAACATAATACAACAGTTAACATTAGACCGCCTCCTTCAGCCCTCCTCTGCTTATTCTTTCTTTCTTTCTTTTTTTTTTAAAGATCTAAGTTACCCACCCAAAAGATGTATCACTCTTGCAAGCTGTTTCCTAGGACAGCACCTTTTAGATTAGGACTTAATAAAAGGGATGGGTTAGAACCATTTTATCTGAATACCTAAGGAGACATTTGTTTTCAGAAAGAGGATGAGTGAATAAAAACTCTCTGTTCATCAACAGATTAGTGGTTATCTATCTGTCCTTGAATGTGGGCAGGCGTGTATGCGTGCGCACACACACACATATACACACACTTCAGCTCTTTACAATTAGAATGATTTTCCTCCTTTATAAAAATGGTAAAAGCACACACCAGAAATGTTAAGCAAAAGAGAAGAAGGAGAAATTAAAGTTCATGTAAACAGTAAGCACATACCTGCCAGGCGATGCCATTTCCTCTACATTGTAGAGCCCAAGTATTGGGTCTCAGCATTATTGCTACTATAAAGCTTCCGATAAAAATGGACCGTCTCTCGCTGACCTGAGAACCAGCTGGCTGCCTGAGAAGCGGTTTCCCCCATATATGATTCAGTCTCCTTGACAAATATACTGCATTGTACTGGATGAGTCATCCGAGGGTTAGTCCGCATTTTATAGGCCTGTTGTGTCATTACTCACATTCAACATCCTGCTTCTCAGAAGTGGAAACTGGAAGCCTGACAGCTGACAGATGCTTTTTCCAATTAAAATATTGTTTAAAAAAATTCCTGTAAGTTATGTTTATCAATCATTGATGATAGTATGAAATGCCCAGGAAGCAAAGAGCACAGCTCAATACTTGAGATCACAGTCTGTGGACCCACAAGTGCAAGCTGCTCACCCCACCCCCTAGTCCAGATAATTTTCTTCAAAGTCAAGAGCAAGATCCTTCTCTCTGAGGCCATCAGTTGAACCAGCACAGGCAGGACCTTGGCGATTTTTGTGTTGTAAGGTTATCCAGTTGTGGGAGCTATGAAAAAATGACATGTCAAAATTTTGGTTCCTGGATGGATTTTGCTAGGTGGGGTGGTAGCACTGTGTTTATCAAATGTTTACTTTTTAGATATCAGTGTTTACTTTTTAGGCATCCTGCAGTATGCTAAGGGTGAAATGATGTGGTATCTGGAATTTCTTTTAAATATTTTAGACATACATACATACATACATATATACATAGAGTAAAAAAAAAGTGGCAAAATCAGAATAAATTGCTGCACCTGTGTGGTGAGAATATGCAGGTTGGCTATATTTTTCTCTTTTGAGTATCTGTGAAATTTCTCATGGTAAATTTTATTTAAGTTAAAACTTTTAAACTAAAAAAAAAAAAAAAAGTCCCCCAGTCCCTACATTCTAATTTGTACTGAATAAAACACTTGAAGAATATAAAAGAATATATTCAGGGGCTGGGGATGTGGCTCAGTGGTACAGCACTTGCCTAGCATATGTGAGGCACTGGATTTGAGCCTTAGCACCACATAAAAATAAATAAATAAAATAAAGGTCTATCAACAACTTTAAAAAAATTAAAAAAACAGAACAACAACAACAAAACACTTGAAGCTGCCATGCCCATGAATGGGGGAAGAAGAGGAGCCCCATTCACAGGGTGACACTGTGGGTGTGGGATATGAACCTGAAGGTGACTTAACCTACCAGCTAGAAGGTGTGATACTCATGTCCTAAGGCCATGGTGAGGGCTGTATCAACTCCCTGAACGCCTCTGTCGTGATTGTTTCCTCATGCTTTCTTTGAGGACACAAGCCCCAGCCTTGTTCATGAGCTCAATGTTAACATTATGAAGGAGAGGTGACCATTTCCAGCTTCCTTTTATGGCTTTGGAAATGCTCCATGAGAGGTTATGTAAGTCAAGTCCAGAGTCCCTTATACCAACAAAGCCCTTTGTAAGGTGGCAGTGTTTGCTTGACTGACTTTGTGCTCAAAGTGGGGTACTGACACCAGCTGGAGGAGGAAGAGAGCTTGGATTTCATGGACAGAAACAAAACAAACCACACCCCCAACATATGGAAGTTTTAGGATTGAACCCAGGGCCTGGCATGTACTAGGCAAGTACTCCACCACTGAGATACATCACCAGAACCCCAGTGTATGTTCAATAAGTCCACTGTTGAAACTAGATGTCATTCCCAAAACTATCCATATGATGTGCTGTGAAAGCATGACAAGCCACCACAAGAAACAAAATACAGAGGTCCTCCAGTACTCCAAACCTCTGCAGTGTCCCCTCAACAGGCCTCAGGCTGAGGTGTCCACCACAGCCAACAGCCAACCCCAAAGGACCTGGTCTAATACAACTGCAGACTGCCTTTGAGTAGCTGAGACAATCCCCATAACATCAAATTACAGTCTCACTAATCCAGAAAGATTAGGATTGAGTGTGCGCTGAAATGAAGACTTTCTGACTTTGACAAATTCTTTCCTTCTAAGGACAGCAAACTCTGAGGATTATCAAAATGTTCCCTCACAATTCATGACCTTTCACATACTTGAAAAGCATGATATACCTTAATGCAACAAGTACAAATGGGGGAAATTAACAAACTTCGAGCTGAGAAGTCTCCATCAGAATCTCGAAGACATAAATCTAAAGCTCATTAGAGTCTTATGAGCTGGCTGTGATGGCATGGTCTTGTAATCCCAGTGTCTGGGGAGGCTGAGGCAGTATGATTTAAATTTGAGGCCAACCTTAACAAGTTAGTAAGACCCGTTAAAATAAAAAGGTCTGGGAATACTGCTCAGTTGTGCAATACCTAGTAAATTGGAAAAAAAATAACAATAATAATTTTATGATTTGGGTTTCATTAAAATACAAAAATATGAGCAACAGTATGTACACATAGACACAATGACCGTGAAAAGGCAAATATATAGTAAAATGTTAACAAATAGGAAATTGGATAGAAGAGTTCTTCATACTATTCTTACTTTTCTGTAAACATGAAATATTTCAAAGTAAGTCTAAATGCACAAAACACAAGACCCCTGCTTAAAAAATTATAGATTTAATAACCACCATGGTACCTGCTGTTGATGTGGCCACCCAATTCTTTTCTTTCTTTTTCCTTTTTTCCTTTTTTTTTTTTTTTTTTTTTGGTGCTGGGGATTGAACCCAGGGCCTTGTGCATGCGAGGCAAGCACTCTATCAGGTGAGCTACATCCACAACCTGTGGCTAGCCATTTAGAAAACCTTAGACCATTAAGTAACTCACCAAAATGTGAACTCTTGAAATGCCTCTGGGCTCAGATTTCTCAAAGGGTGTTCCTTGCAATCCATCCTATAGGAACCTCCACATTAATATACAATCCAAATACATTTTGGGAAAACTACTATATCCTTGGGGATATATTAGTTTTAAGTTTGTTTGGTTTTGTGTTTCCCAATGTTTGACTGCAGACTTCTGCTTTCATCCCCCTTCCCCACACCTATTACCATCCTGATGAGCCTAAACAAAAGCTTTGGGAAACATGGCTGGAGGTGATGGGATCCAGGATATTTTAAATGATTTTACTATAAATTTTCTCAAGAATATTTTCTTACAATAAAAGACATTCCAAAATTGGTTTCTGCCATCTTTAATGAACATATTTATTAGATGGTCAGCCTGCAAGCTAATGACCATCACTAGTCAGAAAACAACTTGAACTGTGCACTTATCTAGCCTCTCCCAACCATGCCACCCTGTGGCAGCGTGAATCTGTGTGGATGATGATGGGCGGCAAGTCAGGCCGCATGGGCATTCCTGCTAAGAAGTGGTTGGTCCTGGGGAGGCCACCCTAAGGAGCAGGAGCTCTCCAGAACTGGCTCTACTGCACCACTTTAGACTGCTGGGTTTGGGAATCTAGAAACCAGCTGGGATGCTTTCTGCCTTTGAGTTCCGTGGGCCTTCACATAAGTCATTCCCTAACACTGATCCTTGGTAAGAAGCACAACTGCCTAGTGGTAGCACAGGATAAAGAACTTGTTTATTTGGGGAAAATGAACCCACAGATCCAATAGACTCTATTTTTTTTTCCAAAAATTGCTATGAATTAATTTGTTAGGGCTGTTAGTAATTATCTGCATTTTTGCTGTTGTTAAATATCAAAAACTGGCTGATGTCAAAATCCAGAAGCATGCGTGAGGCCCTGACTTCAATCCCCAGTATGGTGGTGACAGTGGGGAACAAACATGGGTATTAATGCTGTGGACACTGCAGGCTGGTACAATAGAAAAGAGCATGTGCCTGGAGTTGTCTTGGTTCAAAATCCAGTCTTGTTTTTATTTACATATTATTTTATTTGTGGTGCTGAGTACTGAATAAGAACCTTACAACATATAGCAGGCAAGTGCTCTACCACTAAGCTACCTGCCCAGCAATTTTTACTTATTAGTTTCATTAATTTGCGGAGGCTGGCCTTAAACTTGCAATCCTCCTGCCTCAGTCTCCTGAATAACTGGGATTAGAAGTGTGTGCCACTATATCTGGTTTTACTTACATTATTTAAGTTCTCTAAGACCCTGGTTCCTTATCTGTAAAATGGGTATAATACTATGAATAACCTCACAATTGTTTTGAATGGGATAAATGTGATCATTCCCAACAAGTACTTAGCATACAGCCTAGCCACATGCAGAACACTCTTCAATTTATGCAAACAGTGATGAGGATGTTTGTAGGCATTATGAATTTAGACTCTCAGGGGTGGGCAAACTGTGGCCAGACACCACACTCGTCTGTTTACATCCTGTCTATGAGAGCTTACAAAGACGGACTTAAGCAGCTGTGACAGAAACCATATGGTCCCCAAAGCTTAAGCTTTACTATCTATACCTTCACAGAGAAAGTCTGTTGACCTTGGTGATCAATGCTTGGGGGGATGAAGACCTTCTATAGGTCTTTTCCCCCATAGAAGTTTAAGTCAGTTGGTCCTTTATTTTGCTTAAGGTTCCAATTTACAATCTGATATCTAAATGCTACTTATGGTGATCAGAACAAAACAAGCTGCTTTTCTTACAATGCAAATCACAAGCTCTCAGTCTCATGGTGGGTGGTGAAAGCTGCAGAGTCTGAGTCTGAGGCTGCTTGCTGGTCTTTTGGCATCCCCTCTCCCCTGAACTACCCAGAGAAAACCCCTCCCCACTTCAGAGTTCAGTACACCAGCTGTACTATGTGAGTCTTCGGCCAGGCCTCCCCTCCCCCAAGTCACATCTGTGCATTATGTAGAAACCACATGTGTCCCCAGAGCTTGAAGCAAGAGGTGAAAGATGATCTGAAAGAGGTATTCAGGAACCCGAGCAAACAAACATGAAGGATGCCCTCAAGGGGGCTGGATGGCCACATGCAGGAGCAGGAAAGCAGTGGAGGCCTTGGGAAATCGGGGATGCAGGCAGCATCAGGGCACCTCCACCTCTGACCAGGGCAGTAAGGAGACCAAGGGCCAACCCAGAAACATGAAAGGCAGGACTCAAGAGCAGTCCCAGGACACATAACTGCATCCAATTGTGATGCATATTTTCTTTGGCAGGAAAACTTGTTTATTTGGGGAAAATGAAGCCACAGCATTAATGGAAAATGCAGGTGAAGGGACTCCTGGGGCTAGGCTCTGGGAGGGGAGATTTGAACAATAGAAACCATTCTAACTGCTCTCAGTTATGATCTCTTGGGTGGGGGTAGCCTTAGCCAGCTGTTGGGGCACAGATGAAATCTGGGATGTGCTTAGATATACACGGGTCTTTGTGGTGGTCACTTTTTGCCTTACTGGGAAATGTCAACACCTTTGAGAAGGCAATATAGTGAGGAAATGCCTTTGTTAAATACCACAGGGAGCCATGAGGGCTGGTCACGAAAAGGAGCAGGAGGCATATTTCTGGTGTTATCTACTGAGAGCAGAATTTCGGAGACAGTAAGCTATAGAGACCATGTTTCAAAGTCTGGCTGGCAGGAGGGGTAAAAGAAGGCTCTCTCCAAAACTCATGGTTAATTTGGGGATGTTCTGCTTGGCAAGAGTGAGAAGATCTGTGCTGATGAAATGCATATAAGACATTATGCTAAACAGATGGGGAAAAAATGACCCTATGATGAGAAGATCTTCAGAGCTAGGACGGTGGATTCAGCCCAGGTTTCCTCAGGAAAAGGCAAAGGAGCTCACATTCACAGTGCCCACTCTGTGTGGGGTGCTTTGTATAATTACATCATCACACCCACAAATTTTGTTCCAGGCCTATGTGGAGGAAAAATAGGGGGCAAAACTAGTGGCAGGTGTAGTCTAGATAGCCTGAGTTTCTTTGGCACAGTATGTTACAGGGCCGGGCAGGGATATGGAAACCAAACACACCAGAAATATGGTAAAATCACTCTGGGAAGTTATGGGAGGAGCCAAGGGCTTCATTAGCAAGGAAAAGGGAAAAGTTAAGTGTTCAGGGCACTGGCTTTCCAGCTGAGCTATGAGAGGACCAGCTATGAGAGTGCTGAGGACCAATCAGGGCAAAACCTAGCTTCTCCAGAGACCTGGGCTGCAGGGAGAAGTCAAAACCCAGATGTAGAGGTGGAATTTTAAGTTCAAGGGATGGGGCTGGTTCAAAACCTGGAAAAGGGATATATGAAGTACCTAGGGGTGAATATTTAATATACATATTAGCACCTGCCAGGCTGAACAACAGGGTCAGCACTTGAAGTCCACTCAAGGTGGATGACTTATTCCTTAAGGTAAGCTTAGACCACGGGGACCAGACTGACCCACATTGGCCATTCAGCCTAGTTCAGCCTCTGATGTTTCATTACCTCTGAGCCAGCATCACACCTGAAGCTGCTCCAGGCTGCAGAATTCTAGGAACAGTTTTCAGCTCTTGCTCATTTTGATGCTGGCTACGGAAAAACTCGCGGATAACAGGTTAGCTTCCTAGCAAAGCAAACCTTCTGCGTGGAAGCCATCTTTGTTTGTCAGATGGCTAGAGAGATATTCAGCTACAAATGGAAATCTCTTCAAAGAACTCTCAACAATACTCTTTAATCATTTACCTATGTAAACAGCAACCAAATTCATGGCATCAGAAATTCTGCAATTTCAAATTACTCCGAGGTCATAGCTTTAACTTGACGTTGCAGCTAGTTATGTGGCCTTGGGCAGAGTTACTTCCTTATGCTTCAATTTCCTTGTCTAGAAAATTAAACTAGACAAGGAAATTGATTTAAACCAGTCCAGCTCTTGAAGCTCTGAAATTCTACAAGGAATGGATTGATAGCAGATAAGTGAGAAAACTGACTAGTCATATAAGTAGCCAAAGAGGAGAGGAGTGGGAAAGAAAGTTGGGCAAGGGATCAGGAAGAAAACTATATTCCCAACCCTCGGATCTTAGAGATCCGACTCAACTAACTGACCAGTCTAAAACAATGCCAGTCTTGGCCAGGCACGGTGGCACACGCCTGTAACCCTAGCGGCTCGGGATGATATCCCTGGTACCAAAAAAAACGAATGCCAATTTCACCCCAAAGTTAGAAGTGGCTTTTCCTTATAAAAGACATTCATCAACAAGAGTAGCACATGCATGTAATGCCATTGACTAAGGATGCTGAAGCAGGAGGATCTCGAGAAGTTCAAGGCCAGGATGGACAATTCAGTAAGACTCTGTCTCAAAAATAAAAATAAAAATAAAAAGGGCTGGGCATGTAGCTCAGTGGATACAGCATTTGCCCAGCATATGCAAAGCCCTGGGTTCAATCTCCTATATCTAAAAACAAAAAAGTGGTGGGGAGATGGGAGATGTAGCTCAGAGGTAGAGTGGTAGAGCACTCTAGTTCAATCCCCAGTGCCAAAAGAAAGCAAGCAGGAAAAGCAGCAGTTGTCAACATTAGCCACAGTTATATCATGTACAAGTACTTGATACAACTTAGAATCACACAAGAATTTTATTCCAAAGACCCCAAGACAAGGTGAAGAAGCCTAGCACATCCTCTTCTGATTTCATGATAACTGTA